GCTTAGTGTCTAATGAAAGACGAGCGCTCCTGGGAGGCATTAGATTAGGCGGTTCTGCCACAGGTGGTATCAGAGAGCAAATGAGGAAATAAGGCTTCGAAAACCTTTTCTAAACTAAAATTTGACAACAAATTCTTTTCAAAAATTAGGACGTCTTTATGCAAAGTTATATAAGTAGCCCTAATACTATGGTTATGTATCCAGGGTAGATGACACTCTGCTGACTTAGGTAGGCTTAATCAATTTTTCTGCAGGTACACTAACCCCGAGCATAGTCCGATAGTATCGACTAGCTACAGGGAGAGAACGATGTGCCAAAAATCTAAGAACGGTTGCCCTATATGTTGGGACAGTGAAAGGTTGTATAGGACATGCATTCATGCATATCTTGTTTGTGCATTGTAGCGCTCGTATTACTTGCAGATACGCCATCCATAGGTGTCACACGTGTCATTTTGTGCACTGCTGACTCGTTCTTGTTCCAGAGTTAGGTCTGCACTGTGGCTTCGTGTTCCACGTTCGCCGTGGTTTCACGCCTGTCGTGACCCACGTCTCCCCGTACCCCTTTTATGTGCTCTTGTCGGACCCTTGCCCTACAGTCGTACTAGTCAGTAATGGCATCGCACGTCGCTCGCCTCGAACGCACGGAATTTGGTCTATTCGTCGTAGTGATCCCGCGTGGGAACCCTGGTGGATCGCGTCAGGACCACTGAACGCTCCGCCTTTATAAGCAGAGCCTGACTTGGCCCTTGGTACCACCACTTGACGCACTTTAGCTCACTTAGCTTTTCCTTTGAGCCAGCTTTTCGCTCAGCCTTCCTCACAACCACCGCTAGAAATGGCAGAAGCCTGGGTTAGTAGTTACTGCTTGAACGTTGAGGGTTTTCCCAGAATCCTGCATGCCACCTTGCAAAAGCTCGGAGTCAAAGATCGTCCTGAGTATGAGGGCCGTGAGTATGAGGAGCATGGCACCGAGCGGTGTGAGGTTACCATCTACATCGGGAAGAGTGAAGAGTTCCCCGACCTCACTAAAGCCTAGAGTGTGACCATAACTGGGTTTAGCTTCATCGACACCTACCAGGTTGTGGCCCGCAAAGCCTTGCGGTACCTCTGCCATATCTATGAGGAGCTCATTGCCCGTACCCCCATGCGGTTCTTTCCACCTTTGGACAAGAATCAACGAGCATGGAAGGCTCGCATAGAGGCTTTGCAAGGGCGGGATGCGCAAGAAGATAGTCCTACCATGGTGCACTTGACCACGTACCTGCTTGCTCTGGATGAGCAGTATGATTGGCAAGCCTTGGAGCTGAGGGCGTGCCTTCGGCACACCGAGGAAGCCGAGGTCTTCAACCAGATGCTCCAGGTGCAGGTCGTCGAAGCGCATGCTAGTGCTGTAGCTGTTGAGAGCTAAGAAACTGCCATGTCAGAAGCCCTGAAGGAGGCTAAAGATTGGCATGTCTATCAACTGGGTGAGGCCTATCTGTTCACTAGAGCCAAGCGAAGGACGCTGGTTGATGAAAGGTAGGATGCCCCGATCTTGGAGGGGATCCCTATCCACCCGCCTGAAAGGAGAACCGGTGATACAGAACCGCCAGCACCTCCACCTTTAGAAGTGTTAGAAGCAGAACCCTTGATTCCTCTCACTCAGCCATTGCCCCGAGAAGATGTAGATTAGTTGCCTTGGGATGTTGTACCAAATCAAGGGCTCGAACACGGCCAAGAAAATCAAGGGCTCGAACACAGCCAAAAATGAAAAGCTTAACATGGAAGATCATGTAGCATCCACGCCAACCGGACCATGGAAGAAAACCTATCCCCCGTGTCGGCTCCTGATATTCTGCTGCCTACACCGGCCTCCTAGTAGAAATTATACTTCTATCTAGCGGGGTGTGAGATCAAGCCTACCCATATAGACATGTAGCTGTATGTAATAACTCACTAGGCGAGAGGGACTACGAACCGGTCCTTAAGTGACCGAGGCGAGTATCTCCCACAGGAATCCTCTCTAGGCATCCCTGCCATGAAAAACTACCTCCATAGTTTACCACTACTCGTCCCATGTCGGGGTTTAGTTTCAGGTTTAACAATTCTAAGTTCCATTATTAACCCTAAATCTAGTCATAGTGTGGAGCTCATGAAGTAGCAAGATAATCCTTTATCTTAATTTAACAATAATCATAATGACCGAGCTCATATTCTAGGGTAATAATCTTATAGTCATGTTTTAGCATTTCAGTGGTTTAAGCAAGATGGTAGGGAGGGGAGCTAGGACTTGCCTTCGTCGTTGTCGCCTTCCGGCACGTCCATGAAATTCAGGTCCTCGTCCTCCTGACGATTACCGTCGTCTGTCGGGCGTATCGATCGAAATAAGACTACCACTAACCATAAAAGAAAGGGCAAAATCAAAGATAGAACTATATGGTGGCACTAGGTGCAAATGATAGGGTTGGATTTTAGATGAATTTTAGAGGTGGTTTCATGAAAAAGGAGTTAGGGTTTAAAAGTTACATATTTTAGAAGTTTATCCTATAGTTATTTAACTAGGTGGAATTTTATATGCATTTTTTGGTGCATAAAAATATGTGCAAACTACATAATTAAATTCCCTAATGCATCTAGTTTATTTACAAATTTTTTAGAATTTTTCCGAAACTAGGAAGATGTATTTTTAACTCTTAGTGTACATTAGCCGGGTGTACCCAACATTTTCTAAAGCGTACCCCGCGCTATGTGTGTGGTGTGTGCGTGTGGATGACAGGTGGGCCACCATGCCTACGTCAGCAGCTACGGCAGCATCGGCGTTATGGCCATGGGCCCACGTGTCAGTGCAAGAGGGAGGGAGAGAGAGAGAGAGACGGACGGGGCTGACAGTAACAGCAACGTCGTTCCGTGCCCGACCCACACGTCAGAGACCGGGAAGGGGAGAGAGGGAACGGTAGCGGGCGAGGGTGATCGCCGCGTCATCGGAACAGGGGAGGGAGAGGCCTGGCTTGCCGGAGTTGGCCACGCCGGCGGCGTCGGTCCTCGGTGGTGGCGTGTAATAGGTGCACGGTGCTCGCAGGGTCACGCCGTGGCCGATGGCGGGGTTGCCGTCGGCAACGGGTGCCCGTGGTGGCGGTGGCGGCTCGGCGGAGAGGTCGCGGCGGCGCCGTGCGGTGAACTCGGCCCGAGAGGCCCTATCCTAAACAACTAACTATTTGTACGTGTGTGTGAGTGAGTGGGGGGTGTAGTGGTGGTTGTGTGTCCCGGGGTGGCCTTGCCGGTGATGGCCGACAGCCATGGCGGCTTGGTGGAGGCGGGCACACGGTGGCAGTGCAACACAGAGAGAGAAACGACCAACTAACTAGCAAAGGAGATAGAGGAAGGGCTCTAGAACTCACCGGTCACTTCAATCGGCCAATGTCGCAGCTGGGGAGGAGAAGAGAGGAGGAGGCACCTATGGCGCCGGCGAACTCCCGATTTGGGGGAAAATGGAAGAAAGTGGAAAGCAGGAGGGGAAAGGGGAAACGGAGGAGGAGATGGTGTGTTCCCGCCCTCGGTGGAGCGGATGGTGGAGAGGGCGGGGCAAGATCGTCGTCGGTCGGGCCTATTTATAGGCCGGCTAGGTCAGTGTCCCGGCGGTGAGATATTGTCCCGGCCGTGCTTATCAACCATGTGTGCTCGTGGTTGACCTCGTCGGGTCATGTCACCACAGCTAGAGCTTGCCCACGCGCACGTCGAAGTGTCTTGGCGGCTACTCTAGCGGCTCGGCGCGGAGGCGACCATGGCGTCGGCATTGACGAGCTCATAGTGAGGGAGGAGAGGAGAGAGGAGAAGAAAGGAGGGCACCGTGGGGTCCTAAGGTCTTGTCATGTCGCTGCTGACCCTCGCTGGCACCAAGGAGGAATGGGGCGAGCGTTGACGCGCGGCTACGCCGCGTACTGCTGCCAGCCGCGAGGAGGATGAAGGAGCTGCCGAGCGGGTCTGGGCGTCGGTGTGAGAGAGGGGGGGAAGGGAAGGGCGCGGGCGAACCGGGCCAAGCGCTGGGCTGCGGTTGCTGTTGCGCCTGTTGGGCCGGCCCACGCTGGGAGAGAAGGAGAAGGGGAGGAGTGGAGTGGGCTGCTGCGGGCCGAAAGGGGAGAGGGGGAGGAAGTGAGCCCTTGGGTCTTTATCCTTTTCTATTTCCTTTTTCTTTTTTCCAACTTAAGTATGCATATGTTTAAATGATTTTAAATTCAAATTTGAATGCATGAGTATGCAAAAGTGTACCACCATAAGTTCAACAAACCAAGCAACATCCTCACATCAAGTTTTATTTCCCTATGTTAATTTATTTGTAAAAATTACCTATGTTGATTATATATGCTAGCTCCTATGCAATGTTTTAAAAGTTCTAATTTTTAGTGTTTTTTAAACTAGGTCAAATTTTAGGGTGTTACAAACACCCTGGCGTACAGCCCCAGCTGCCACGTTAGCACAAATAGTATACATCAACCGAAACGTTAGCCTCGCAAGCGTTTTCTCCTGGGCAAAACTGACAAAGAGGCAGGCGGGGCAGTAAGCAAAGCCATCAGCCTGACATCGCGTTGTGACTTTAAATGCTAGACTAGAGTAGTGCTTCGTCTACGTTTAAGTGCATTTAAGGTGAGGCCACACAGAACTGTTAGCCTGCGATTGTCCTTGCCCTTGCCCTCGTTGTCATTGGTTAATGGGGCCTCTTACGGCTTACGCTTTGCCCTGTCCTTGAGAAAACATGGCTGGTTTGGTACCCTGAGATACTGTGTGTTTGTTAAAAATGGCATTGGCATTCAGTAATCAGTCACTACGTGTGCTCCGTCCGTCCCCTGCCCAGCCCACGGCTTCTTCTCCTTGGTCAAGTCAACCTTTCTTGTCCTGCATCGAAGACCCAACAATAGGCGAGGAGAGCAACCCGGGAGCTACCCTGCGCCCCTGGCCCTGCCCCGTCTCCCTCGCTCGTCACTCATCAGCAATTCAGCACCGAAAGCCGACGCCGGCGAAACATGGGGAAGCTGGGCGAGTGCTGGGACGACTGCTGCGACAAGTGGAACGAGTGGAAGTACTGCCTGCTCTGCGCCGGCATCGTGGTCGCCGTCGTGCTCTTCGCCGTGCTCCTCGCCGCCTACGGCTTCGTCCGCCACCTCGACGTCTCCGTCGACGACGCCTCGCTGACGCGGTTCGAGCTGTCGACCTCGCCGCCGGCGCTGACGTCGCTGTCGTACAACCTGTCCCTCACCCTGGTGATCCGCAACCCGAACTGGGCGATGAGTCTCAAGAACACCAAGCCGCTGGAGGCGCAGTACAAGTTCGACGACCAGGCGTTCGACCGATTCCAGCTCGCCGACAAGGGCGGCAAGCACCCCGCGGGGAAGACCCGCGTTTACCACCTGTCCCCCGCGGGCACCACGAGGGCTGTCATGCTGGGCAACGCCGGCGAGGCCGAGTTCCGGAAGGAGAACGCCACGGGGGTGTTCGAGGTGGAGGTGGCGGTCGCCGGGGAGGTCCGGTACACGGCGCACTACACCAAGTGCAAGGTCGAGGCATCGTGCCCGCTCAAGCTGCAGCTCGCGCCGCCGGGCACCGCCGCCGTCGTGTTCCAGAAGGTCAAGTGCAAGCTCACCAAGCCGGAGAAGAACTGCTAGTGCTAGCACGTACAGGCACATAGCTGCTGGTGGCACGTTAACAACCTTGCAGTATGGTGGTGGCGATGATTGGACTAGATTTGTTCTGATTGCCGCGTTAGTCAGGATTTCTTTTGATTGTGTGTGTGTGTGTGTGTGTGTGTGTGTGTGTGTGTGTGTGTGTGTTGCAACTTACGCGGAATCTGATTTGTTTTAGCCCAGTTTTTCTTCTATAAAATTTCTATAAACCTATTGTTCATTTCTTCGTCTTCTTTTTATGTTTGTTCTTGCACGTAGAATTGGCAGAACCAGAGTCGTCGCAGTACGTGCTCGTCGGCGGCGCCGCGACGGCGAGCCGGGAGTCCATGACCGGCTGAAAGTTCTTTTCTTGCGCACAAGGGCGCCTTGTTCGTGTCACGTAAGCTCTGTTTGCTTTCAAGCGGGGACAGGGATCGCAAAACACTCTTTCAGAATCAGAATACGAAGAATAAATAAAAAAGACGAGAGAAACTGCGAATAAAAGCATCGAAAAGGACACAAGTCACTTTGCATCAGGCTGGTAGGGAGAAGGAAGGCACGCGACACGACACGCTTGTCCGAGAAAACAACGGCTAGTAGGCACATGACGCGCTTTATGTTTGAGAGGAGGATGCTTTGTCAGCTAGCCCTTTCGATTGGCCAATCCGAGTGACGATTTAAGAAGAAAATTACCTCTAGTTTGGAATAGAATCCGGCCATCAGCAATTAGAGGTTTGCTTGTCCTCATGTCTCAACCTTTAAATTTGTGTTCATTCATCTCGTCCTAAAAAAATGGTTGGTAAAACACGAGACAACCCACTTGCACATTCTTGCTAGGATGCTAGTAATGACCGCCTCTTTGGAAAGGCAATAAAGACAAAACACAAAAAAAAAGTTGAAATATACTCCTCTTATTTATCTCTAGAGCAACTCCAAGAGCACCTTTATATCATTCTTTATCGATACGGATTGAAATTTTAGTGAAAAAATATACATTGTTAGTTCCTTAATTAGATCTCCAAATATTGGCATTCTTTATTTTAGATTTTCGCTAGCCAAAGATGGAGAGTGGAATTGACTCTCTAGAGTGCGCATAAAATATAGAAGATTTGTCGAAGGGTGGAGAGATATAGAGAGCGACTTTTATTCAAATGGCTCTACAAATGATGATTTAGACCCCGTTTGGCAGGGCTTCTCCACCAGCTTCAGGAGCCGTTTGGAGCCGTTTTCTGCCAAACGGGATAAAGTGAAATAGCTTCACCGGTGAAGCCCCTAAAAACATGCTCTCACAATGATTTGGGGGTGGGATGGAGCAAAAAAAAAAGTGGCTTCTCCCGGCTCCTCCTCCATGCCCCTAAAAACATGCTTTCACAGGGAAGCCATTTTGCCAAACGGTTTACCAAAACCGCTTCAGCTCCACCGGTGGAACTGTTCGTGGAGCTGAAGCCAAAAAAAATGGCTTCATTAGTGAAGTGAAGCCCTGCCAAACGGGGCCTTAGAGATGAAGAAGTTTAAGAAAACTCTCGGAGATGTTACAAAGCATATTTGGTTGCACTAGTCCATCAACTCATGTTCATGCATGGAGCATGGTTTAGTAATTTAAATGGAAGTGTTAGAAATTCATGGGTGAACTTACGGGTTATTAGGGCTTAGCTAATCCAAATTGCATGGATTTACTCTCTCACTCTCTCTCTCAATTGTTTATATTTTGGCACGGTACTTGTGTAGATTTTTTTTTGGTTGTAGCAAAAATTAGTTAACAATGACTAGTCAATATACTTTTCAAACACTGTTCGTAGTTCCCTCACTGCTCACTGCATGGACGTTTGTTGACATGTGTACTGGTCAGCCCATGATGTCCAACCAGTTACTGGCCCATATCCATCATTCCATGGGAACTTTCTTGAGGTACATCAACCGAGGGATGATGTTCCACTCCCAAAAAAAAACCCCCGAGGGATGATATGTCCAATGGGCTGCTGGTCCATATCCCCATCCATCAAAGCTGGCAAAAACAAAAAACCGAGGGATGATATGTCCAATGGGCTGCTGGTCCATATCCCCATCCATCAAAGCTGGCCTAAATGATACTAGCAAGGAAGAAAGGCCGTCAGACAGAACAACATTCTCAAGCCCGTGTTGTTATGTTTTTTTTTTGACAACACGTGTTGTTATGTTTATTGCAGGCCAGTCCACCCAAAGCTCCATGAGAACCATCTTTTCTTCAGAAAATATATATCTACCTCTTCCCAATCTGTTTGACTTGTGTCAAGCAATAACATATGCCACGTACTCCCTCCGTTTCTTATATCTTAATTTGTTGTTCTATCTTGTCACTGTGGTCATGTATGGTCAGAGACTGTCTTCTGAAGGTCCATACTTATTACTCCCTCCATCCCAAGTTACAAGACGTTTGACTTTTTTAACACCAAGTTTAACCACTTGTCTTATTAAAAAATTTATGCAAAATAGTTTGGGATGGATTGAGTACTATATAATATTTAACTATAAATATTCTCGGGGACACAAGTTGAGAAGGAGCACAATGAGGCGACATGCCTAAACTGAACAGTTCATCAGCCAACTTTTAATCTGATGAATGCATTCACAGGTCAAATACAAAAATCAGAAACTGCATATAATTTAGGCACTGAGGGAAGAAAGAATGGTAAGGTAACTTTCCAGGTGAATTAGTAGCCGCGACCTAAAAGCACATCACAAATTACAATTCTCTACAGGCTTACCCGGGGGGAAATCCACTAGTCGGCGAGTATCAGATATACAATACAGTGAATTCAAGTATTCAGAGGACTGTTTTGCTCTTTGGCAGCTGTACTAGCATCGTAGAACCATGTATGCCAAGGATCATCGTCTATTCTCATCTTCAATGATCTCATGCCCCTCGACTTCACTTACTTCTGTGGCAGCAGCAGCAGTAGCAGCATGAACAGTGTTATTGCTACCACGGCAGTGCAGTAGCTGGCGCTGAAGGCTCTCGATAAGCTGGTTAAGCTGTTGAATATTTTTCTCCTGAGATAATATAATCTGCACATGACAAGCAAATTTTCTATGAGGAAAAGAACTGGATATCTAGGCATGAATAGCTTAGCAAAGTCATGCCCTCCAGAAACAAATAAATAAACGTGGACCAAAAGGCAGATAAAGGACTGGTTTCCCAATTACAGGGCTTCACATGGTTTAAGTGTTGCATATCATATTTTTGCAAACAAAATGGAAGTGCTTCATCAGTAATCAGTTATTCTACTACAAGAATCAAGTTGTCAAGCACAAATTCTGTCATATGATTTTATGACTTTAAAGCCGAAGATTGATTGCACTGATCTGACTCGAAGGTAGGGTCTCAGTTTGGTAGAATCCAAATATTTGGTAGGAGCAGGAACAAATTTTTCATATGATGCTATCCAATTCTTAACAGATCTGGTGATTTTTTATGAAAAGTAACTTGCATATGTCAAACTAATGTGATACTTGACTTTTCATTTGTTCATGTTCCATCCAATCATATTTACTTTAAAATATATTTTTTGAAGAAAACAGAAGTTGAAGAAGCATTTTTTTTATTTTTCTAATAAATACATTATCAATGAAATAGATAATACTCCCAAGTCACAAATAAGTGACAATTTGCTGTGTGCAATCAAAGTGTCTAATCTTTGACCATCAGTACCTCATACTGTGATGGAACATTTCAAAATGCTGAGTATCATTTGCATTAATACCGATTTATGTTGTACATACAAAGTTCGACAAAACAAAATCATGTATGTTGTACATACAAAGTTCAGTAAACCTGCATAAAGACCAATGTATTTTTTTCTCTTGAACAGGTAGAACTGTGTATCATTGTATTAATAGGATAAGAGAAACATACAACACACCAGCACACCTCCTTTCCATGATGCTGCATTAATAAAAAATGCAAAAATCATCCTAGATGTTAAGAAACAAAACTGACAAGCTTTCAATCTGGTTTTTACATGATGTTCTAAAATGACCATTTGTGTTTTTCCAATCATAATATCAAAGATGAGTGAAATCAATTTTTTGACAGATTACTTAGCTTTATGTACATTATATACATGACTTTTCATGGAAATTGTTTGAAGCACTACAACTCCAAAGTTATAAATCAGATTGAAGAACAGCTCTTGTGGATCTTAATGAAACATATTCAACATAAACAGTTCATTGTTCCCAAGAAGGATCATCTGTTAGCAGCAATTAAGTGACCAACTAATTATATGTATATGATTACTAGGCATAGTTCCTGTAACATGCCTTCCACGATTAGGACCATTAACATGCATGGATTTCATTTGTTGCTTGCAAAGAAATATGGAGTACACAAACACTATATTTGGCAAGGTGATGCTCCAACGTAACACCAGAATCATGTTTAATTACAGTGCACCCTTAAATCTCACCACCTGGGACCTAAATGAATTTAATATGCCTAGCAAGAAAGCCAAAGGCAATCAACTCAAAAACCTCACAACTGTCAAACTTTTTTTTTGGCAAAAATCAGGATATAAGGCATTTTATTTATCTGAACCTAATATTTGGATTTCTAAAACTATTATACTCTATGGCATGATTACAAGTTAAAACAACTTATTCCCCTCTAGACATATAGTATACAGGACAAACTCCATAGTGGCACTGGCATCTGCAGTTTGCAAAAGTATATTGACAATCATCTAGGTATTACATAATGTGCATTACCCACAGAATAAAAAACAGATCTGCACAAATTACCACTACATCTATTTTCTCAAATGCACAGTTGTGAACTTTGGAAAAGTACTCAAAGTTCATTTATCGAAGCCATGTTAGAGCAAATGCACTTTTGCAAAAATTGAAAATAAAAGGGGCAGAAAAGCAAACAAAAAAAAACATGTCCATTACCCATTACATAACACAAGATAAGTTCGCACACATACTTTTGCAATATAAATATGCACTTGTCTTTAACATAGAGTACA